TCTTCGTGGGACTTGAATATCCTTTTAAATACATATAAGAGGGGTGTCAGATGAGCTTTCACCACTTTCGTTTTTCATTTCCTTTCTATTCATTAGAACTTTTTGTACTACCGGTCAGGTAGTAAAAGGGCTAAAACCCATGGAAGACAGTTTTATATACTATACTCTCTGAAGAATCTGAGTGAGATAATTAAGACATTCTGAGTTTGATGATTAGTAGAATAGATAATGTTTAACCCTGTATTTCAAGAGGTTATGAGTATAGGGAGTGGGTGAAAATATTCTAGGAGGTCTCTTCCCAAAAACAGACCCGGGTATTCTTCCAGAATATTTACCGATACATCGTGTATATATAGTTCCACTTGAGGTACAAAATTACATATGAAACCCAGTAGTGCTCCAAAGCAAGAAGCCACTTTGAGAGTTCAACGGGTCATAGTGACTGGTAAGAATTCCGTGTCGGGTGTTGGGATAGAATTTCCTTTTTATCACTGGAATACGAACGGCATGAGCAGGACTCGACCCAAAGGATATGCGATGGTGTGTCTTTACTGAAACCGGTAGAACAGATTAATGTCGCTCGTTAGAGCATTTTTCGTGCAAATAGCGTGACTATAGCAAGAAGTCATCGACATTCCGTCTATGGATAAGAGATTGGAGGATGGAAATATTACAGCACATACAAAGTGGCATAGACTCATTTGAATTCTCTCATGGTGGAAAATAGAGCACTGTTTATCTCCAGCCCACGTATGCCATTTTTAGTCTTTGTATAATAAAGCTTGGTGGGAGAAGACACGTACATTCTGCATCGTTACAAGTTGAGTATTCCTCCAGCATATTTAGCGATGAATCGTGTATATATAATTACACTTAAGGTATAATGGGCACTTGAAACGCAGTAGGCCTCCAAAAGCAAGAAGCCTCTTTGAGAGTGCAACCGATCACCGTGACAGGTAAGGATACAGTGTCAGTTGCTAGCTTTCTTTTGGGGGTATTGAAATTCACAATACATTCCCCCATGGAACCATCATTTAGTGCTTGATTAGAAGAGACGTAAGATTCTAGACTCTTACCGTCTGGATTTTGAAGGTGCACCTAAAAACTATGATGCCTACTGCATAGATATTTACATAATCTGAGAATTCTATTTGGCAAATCGTTCATATAAATCAGAAAACTGTAGGATCGAAGTGAAAACCTTGGAAACGACTGCATTAATTTCATGGACTTCAGAAGCATGGTCATTGATAACGACCTTCATTGATGTATAATGGATTTTATAACTGGGAAGAATCTTCCAGAGATTCCGTCGCTTTGTACGAATATTCTACGCCACACGTTGTCAAAGGCTTTTAAGATACATAAGCCGATTTCTCTCGAGATTAATCTATTATCGAGTGCCTCACTAATGTTGTATGGAACGACGTAATGATGAAGGATGTCTCTTTCTTAGATGTTTATTGATCATATTAAATCGGGATAATTTTTCTGTGCATAGAACTGTATTCATGTGTACAATCTTGTATTTCAAATCCAGATATGTATCCTGGGACATTCTTAATAATTGTAACAATTATCTTTAATCTCTTCCTAGTGATTCTACTATTATTGATACAGTTTGTGTTTATAAAAGCCACAATCAGGCAATTTCTATTTCCATGCCCTCACATTTAGCTAAAATCTCAAATTCTTTTGTTGAGATGTCATTAATATAATGGCGGTGCTATGGAAGAGAGATTATTTCGAGTTTCCATTTACTTATCATAGACATTAATATATCCATGATATAGTAATGCTTTAATACACAGACGAAGCAGAATATCTGAAAGAAAGGAATTAGAAATATGCATTATTCTCAAATATACCTTTTTATACCCTTATAGACTTACTTCTTAATTTGTCCCATAAGGAGGAACTGTAAGATATGTATTAAACATGCAGTGTGAAATTGGCAAATAAGAGAGATTCTATTACTTGTAATATGTCGGAACGGAAAACCATGTTTGTCCTACTGCTGTAACCTTGCGATGCCAATCTTCTTGGTACTTAAATATCAACTGGCGTGGCCCGACACATCTTGTCTCCAGGCGTGATAAATAGCAACTGGTTCTCGACACATTATGAACTGATATCAATCACCTGCCGTCAGTTTTCTCTGGTGACTTCGTCTGAACCAAAGACAGATAATCATGCCTACAATTAGATATTATTGTCATATTCTTGTTCTTTTCCTTATCATTATTATTATTATTATTATTGTCATCATCATCATCATTCGATTTCTGCTATGGACACACTACCTACCAAGTCTGCGGAAAGACCTAAGGCAGGTCGTGGTGTGTTGTTATGGCCACATTTCATGTTAATTTTTTTTTTTTTTTTTTTATCTCCGATGAAGTTGCTAGCGTTACATAGACAAAGTTCTCCTTAGTGTGTGTGCTGTACTTAATAAGACAATTTTCTGTATGTCTCTTAAGCTGGGGGGTTTCAGGGATTCTTTCAATGTGTTGTTTTGTTCCATTTTTTTATAATTCCAAGTGCACCTATTACCACTGGTATTATTCTTGTTTTCAATTTCCACATTTTTTTCTATTTCAATTTCCAGGTCTTTGTATTTTGATAGTTTTTCAAATTCCTTGGTTGCTATGTTACAATCCGCTGGACAAGCCATATCAATTAGTAGGCAAGTTTTTTCTTTCTGGTTTTTGACAATAATGTCCGGCCTATTTGCTTCAATTTTTCTGTCTGTGTGGATGGTATAATCCCATAGAATGGTGACATCTTCTAATTCTGTAACCGGCGCTGGCCGATGTTCATACCAGTGTTTGCTTACACATTTTCCAAAGTGTTTGCCCATTGTCCAGTGTAAGTATTGCCCCACTCTATCGTGACGATTTTTATATTCATTTGGGGCAAGTATAGAACATCCTGAGATTAGATGGTCTATTGTTTCTTGGTATTTGTCACAGAACCTGCATTTTGGATCCACATTATTATGTATGATATTTGCCTGAAAATTCCTAGTGAAAAGACTCTATTATTATTATTATTATTATTATTATAATTATTATTATTATTATTTGTATTATTATTGTTATTAAACTCCCTAAACAAATATATTCCTCTACGATTTAGGCGAGTAGAGCTTGCTCCAAATTCTATTCGTTTTATATCGAGATGTTAAATCATATTTTTTACATAATTCTTTGTTAAGTATAATTTCTGCCCATTCAGGTGTTCTTATGGGATTTTATGTAGATGCTGACTATTTTCCTTACAATTTTTCATTGTGAAGATAGCTTTACGTCTCTACGCCTGTATAGCAATGTTATGTAAGCTGACATTCGTGCCAATTTTGACGGAGGGATTCCGACCACTTTCATTGTTACTCTACATCGTGTTCGATAATTTCTTTTTGAATTTCTGAGATGAGAAGTTATCATTATTTACACTACATAAACAGAATATATATATATATATATATATATATATATATATATATATATATATATATATATATATATATATATATATATATATATATATATATATATATATATATATATATAATAAATAATCATAACTCTTTCCCAGAAATTCATACATAAATTATTATTTGATGTTTCGTTTACTGTCCCAACTCAAGTAACATTTCTTTCCCTTCTCTTTTTTGATACTGTGCCACTTGAGGACGTTAGCGAGCTTGTCTCCCCATAGATTCAATTATTCTACTATATATAAATTCTCTTGAAACCTTGGCAAATATATTAGTTTCTATTTAAATAACTCATATTAAACGTATTTAAAATACCTGTAATCTTAAACAAAGAAAAAAGAAAAAGATTCAAAAAGCAATTTTCTACTTTTCCACCATGTTCCATTTGTTCACCAAAGCTTTGTTTTTAGTGATGCATTGGGTAAAATGTAGTTATTTATTGGCAATCAATGTTACATACAGACAAAATTGACTATTCTTGAGATTTAATAAATTAACCTAGTAGCTATTTACATATTAGAATCGAATAGTATGAATAACATTTAATTTTGTTGGTGATGCAAAGACGTAATTGATGAGCAATTAATATCGTTCATCGTATATTTCAAAACACCCATTAAAATATTGAAATATTGAAAGATGGAGTATTAGTAACTTTTATCTTTTTGAAACTCTCTGCTGTTTTCCTTAGTCTACTTACATTTTTTTTTATTTCAGCGCATAGCCAACTAATTTTGAAATCAGAGTAGTGATTCTTCTGATTTTCTTGTCAAAAATGGTCTGGCCTAAAAACCCAGCCAAACTTCTTATATAACGCATAACTAAATGAAAAGTTATAGCTTATTTATTTTCATAAATGCGTTTCTATGAAAGTGAATGCAACCTACTCTCACTGAATTTTTATTTCGCTTCGTTCATAAAACTTCGTTAGAAACAAAGAAAACACTAATGAAATATTACGTAATTCAAGTTCTCATATTTGGCAGTAAGAATATACAAGTTTGGGGTACCAAAATTAAACCAGTACAAACATTTTAATGTCTAGGAAGTGTTTTAACGGAAGACAGAAAGTGCGACATCGGAGTTCGAAGCCGCATTGGGATAGCAAAAGGTGCTTTTCCAAATCTAGTCAAAGCATTAAGATTTTGTTAGAAATAAACAAAAGAAATCCAAACTGTTAAGTAATATCAGTCCCTCCTCTATAGAAGTAGATACCGGACAATGTCCTCAGTGATGAAGTAGCGGCTTAAAGCATCTGAAATCTGAATATACAGGTAAATGTTAAAAATAACCTGTTCCTAATAGGTGAGCAAAGACGAAATTTTAGAGAAAATGGTAACAAAAGGTAAAATTACATATATTATGAAAAGACAGTAGATATTTTTAGGGAAGATAATGAGAAAAGAAGAACTGAGCAAGGACAGGTTGAAGGCAAAACGTGGAAGGCAAGAATAGGTTGAAGGCCCGAGGGAGAGAACATGGACAGGTTGAAAGAAAAAAGTTACAGAGCAAGGACAGGCTGAAAGCAAGAGGAACAGAGTAAGGACAGGCTGAAGACAAGAGGGACATGTTGAAAACCAGAGGGACAGAGTAAGGACTGGTTGAAGGCAAGATGGATAGAGTAAGGATAAGTTGAATGAAAGAGAGACAGTTTGAAGCCAGATGGACAGAACAAAGACAGGTTGAAGACAAGAGGTCTAGAGCTAGGAGAGGATGAAGGCAAGAGAGAAGCGAAAAATTGATTTGAAGGCAATATGATTAGGTTGAAGGCCAGAGGGAGAGAATACGGGCAGATTGAAAGCAAGAGGTCCAGATCGAGAACAGGTTGAAAGCAAGAGGAACAGAGTAAGAACAGGTTGAAGTCAAGACGGGGAGAGCAAGAACAGGTTAAAGGCAAGAGGGAAAAAGCAAGGACTGCTTGTAGGCAAGTGTAACTGGGCAAGGAGAGGTTAAAGGTAACAGTGTTTGAAGGACAAAGGAACAAATGATGGACAGGTTGAAGACAAGATGGACAGAGTAGGCGTACTTTGAAGGCAAGATCACAGAACAAGAACAGGTTGAAAACAAGAGAGAGAGAGAGAGAGAAACAGAGAGAGAGAGAGAGTAAGGACTGCTTGAGGGCAGGGTTACAGCGCAAGGACAGCTTGATGGCAATAGGAAAAGAGAAAGGGTCACGTTTACTTAGCGTAGGGTTGTTGGAGATCTTTCAATCGTTAGCAATAGATATTACATAAGTTCTACTACACTTGTGTGATTAAACGCCCCGCATCTTCGAAACAGTCTGTAATAGGACCTTACTATCTATTGTTATCCCATATGTATATTTTTGAAATAATAACTCCTAATTTCGGGTAACATACCGTGATATTTCTTTCTGCTTTCTTTTTCATTTTTTTTTTCTAATTTTGTCGTCGACTATCATAAACCAGGTCATTTATAAGGATGTAGTGGAACGGATATTAGCGTCGAAAATGGAATCCACGAGCAGAGTTCAAATTCAATGTTTATCTGTTGAATTCTCTTTCACAGTAATAGCAATTAGAATGACGTGAATGTATCGCCTTTTCCCCAGAGCTTGGTATTAAACAGCAATTTGCACCGGGAACACTATCATTGTGTGACATTAAGTACAATAAAAAGAAAATTTTTAATCCGTTTTAACCGTGAGGAAATGTTCATCATGGGTGACATATATGAGGATAGATATTGCATAGCACATAAATACACGTTTCTTTATTTTCTAAAGGAATTCACCTGTTTCATAATGTATTGCTTAGATTTTGACTGATATACTTCCCTATTTTAGTGCACTAACATTTTCTTCGGATAATTGCAGCTATTTAATTTCTGTACTTGTGTGATTTTGATATCTCTAACTTTTAGTTCTCAGCTTCAACTATTCCGCTTTCTGACAATCATATATTCCGTCTTCTATTCCGCTTTCTGACAATCATATATTCTGTCTTCTATACCGCTTTCTGACAATCATATATTCTGTCTTCTATACCGCTTTCTGACAATCATATATTCTGTCTTCTATTCCGCTTTCTGACAGTCATATATTCTGTCTTCTTGTAGTTTATAGTCCTTTCTTCCAGCTTTCTTCTTTAATATAATGTACACGAGTCTCTGCAACTTGTATGTGTTTTGGTGACATTCGTTTATCTTATGTTGTCAAGATTGTGATCATCAATAATAAATCCGTCGTATGCAGGGAGTTTGTTCTTAGTATGTATTCTGGGTGAAAAAAATTGCCCAGATAATAGAGAATAATTACCTAAATGATCGTAGATATATTTACTGACAATCACACAATATTTTTTATTATTCTTTCAAAGAATAATCTCTTCTTCCTTAATGGTTTTATTGCCTTGCTTGGGGTGAAATGATTAAAAAAAAAGAAAGAAATGACTTTAATATAAGAAAACAGACAATCGATTTTCTTGAAACAAAAATTCAGGGAATTTAGAAAGAAGAAAATGATTGAAAAAATCAAATCAAATCACAATTCGAACAAATATTAACTTCGCATATTTTGTAAAATATGAAACAAGAATAAAATCAAATCATCTCAGCGACATTTTACAGAACGATGAATCGCTTGATAACCAATCTGATACTCACATCTACAAAATATATATAAAAAATACATGATAAGTATACATTAATCAAAGAAATGCAGTTTAGAAAAAGAAAATCGATAATATATTGTATAAAATAAAGAAGTCGGAAAGGTGACAATGCCATAAAGTAAATGAAAACACAGATAAACAAACTAGCGACGGCAGTCCTCAATACCAAGAAATTATGAACATCTCTCCGTGTGCGCTTCCAACACTTTAATAGGCGATTTAAAATATACGAAAAATGATATTAGCAGCGGTTCAATTATCCGTCTCACCTGCAAATGGAAGTTTTATTCATATTATTCGATTCTATTGTGTAAATAGCTACAGGGTTAATTTATTAAATCTCACCAAGTGTTAATGATGTCTGTATGTAGCATTGAATGGCGATAAATAATTGTATTTTCGCCAACGCATTATTAAACAGAAAGCTTGGTTAACAAATAAAGTATAGTGGAAAGCTCACCAATGTCTTTTTTTCTGATCATACATAATTCCATCAACTAGATTTTAATATAATTTTTATTTAGTAATCAATTTTTAAAGACCTGCAGATATATTTTTGTATTTATAAAACGGTTTAAAAATTATTTTTAAATTGAATATTTAAAATATTTTTAAATTCATAATTATTTTCCAATGTTTATGTAAGCCGTGATTATTTTTATATTATTCCCAGAACATTGCTGTTATATCTTATACATATACTTTCTTCAGCCTCCTATGATTCTATCCGTACTGGGTATAACGATAAACTACAGCTGCGTTCTGAGTAAGACGATAAACTACATCCCGCATCAAGGCTTCTGTCAGGAGGTTTTGAGGATCGTGGAACCACCTGCTTATTACTGGTGTTGCCGAACCTGCCAGTGTCACAGCTATGGGTGAATAATTAAGCCTCAAGAAAGGCTTCAAAACACTATGAAAGTATAAAAATAGGTTTTCACTGCAGCAATACTTCTTTGGAAAAATATTACCAGCAATATATTTTTGAAGAAAAATTATTATCAGCAATACATTATTACAGTAGTAAATATTTGAAAAAAAAAATACTAGCAGTACATTGCTGAAAATATTTTAGCACTGATATACTTTTGAAAAAATATTACCAGCAGTATAAAATAGTTTCGACATTAAATAACACGTTGAGGTTGATATACCGTAAAGCAAACCAAACCAAATCAAAAGACTTAACTATTTCCAAGAGGTTTCAATTGTATAATTTAATCTCTGTTCTATGTATCGTGTCACTTCAGGAATTTGGTAATCTTCGCTATAAACCAATTACGTCTCTTTGTATTTCTTAATAATTTTTGCATTCTTTGTTCTCTACTAAAATCTGTTCGATCATCTATATTTTCAAGCTCGATGTGTAGGCTAGTCGTTCTTTTCACTCTTACGTTTAATCCCCCCTGTCTGTATTAAAATATACAAGCCTTATTTCTCCATTATGTCTTCAATAACATTCAATTGTCTCTTCCTGATGTTAAATCTAAGTATCCTTTTTATTACCATTTCCTATAAATGTTCCTCTTTGCCTTCCTGTTACGTAACATGTACTGTAAAATCACATTTCTGTTGCCTCAAGACTCTTCTCTATCTGTGAGGCAATTGTCCAACAATCGTTGACATAAAGCAGGACAGATATTACATAAGACTTCAGTCTTCTATTTTCTGTTTCTTCATACATTTCTTAGCTTTTAGAATACATCTCTCGTTATCCCAATGCGTCTCCGCATTTCAATGTCGCACTTTCCATCCCTTGATATATAACTTCCCAGTTTGTTAGATTGGTTTATTTGTTTGATTTTAGCATCTCCACTTTGTAATTTGCATATTGCATTCTCCCTTCACTATCTTCTGTGTAAATATTTGAAATTTCTATTCTGTTTTCTATCAACATTTTGTCATCTGCATATCTTATGTTGTTAAGATTCTGGCCACTGATAGATAATTAATCCCGGTGGAATTTCTAATTCTTACAAAATTACCACACTGTATAGCTTGAATAATTCCGGGGAGAAGACATACACTTGTCTTAAACACTTTTCTATTTTTGTATATTTATTGAATTCCTTTTCTATCCGTATGCAGATCGTTTGATGCCAGAATATATTCCGGATTATTCGAATACCCTTCCCAAATATGCTAAGGTTACCCCGCCTTTTTCTTTCATTTTTTTTTTCTCAACTAAAATCTTTAGAATTGTTTCGAATCCGCTTATAAAGAATCGCTCTCTGGAAAGCAAGATAATACTGAGACTACAATATTCTGGTTTAATCTTTTTTTATTTATTTACCAAACAAATTTCTTAGAGAGTTCTGACACCTAGAAAAATGTGTCAGTCATACATTTTATAATACTCGTTTACGCGGGCAGGATTACATAATGTTTTGTTTCATATATGAATTGTCTTTTCTTTTAGAATCAAAAAACCAATCGAGGATTTTTAATTTCCATAATAGCGTAAAAGAGGAATAAGTATTTATCATTTGGGAAAATGGCAAAGAATCAGCTATGTGGTTCAAATGTGCGAAGAGAGAAAAACAACAATGAAAATTTATCATAACTTATCTTTTTTCCCAAGCCTTCTAAATACGTAGAAAATTTAACATAATCTCAAACAGTTAACTACTGTTTAAGTATTTGATATGGTTATTCTTGTACTCACGTTTCATAATATAACAACACACAATTTCAGTTCAGTTTCGCCCACTGGAGCGTAACACTGAATTGTGGAAGCTGGGTGTTTAACCAACATAAATCCATTTTCTTGACCGCTCCAGGTTTCGTAACAAAAATCTTCCTCGTGCTTTCATGATATTTGACTCATCATCAAAATATTCCTGTCTACTAATTTGATTACCTCTGTTTTTTCTTATATAGTCTGTTTTTTTTTTCTTTCAAATGATGACGAATCACAATGGTAGCGATAAAAAATAATTCATTAGAAGAATTATGATAATTTATACCGATCTATAAGTGATGGCTGAGCGTAAGAAATTCCCGGGTGAATAATTAAGGAGTAGTTTAAATATTTCAGCACACGCCTGAGCAAAACAAATGCAGCATTAAATCAAACTGAATACAATGTATAGAGACGTAAAAACGGAAAACCTGTGAAGACAAACAGTTGTTTGTTAGTGGATTTTGGCAGCATATCAAGCTCTATGGGTTATTTAATGCCGAAATTTAAATATTTCGGGACAATGTTATGGCGCCAGCTATTTTGAGCCCAATCGTATCCTTTCAACTATAGATAAAATGCACTATTGATCATTGTTTTAAAAATATATATATATATTGCTGGTATTTTACGATAATAACGTATTTTTATTCTTTCATAGTGTTTTGCTTTGTTTGTGTTTCAGTATTTGCCCATAGCTAGGACCCTATCAACTGGTACCACCCAGGGTCAGAGTGGACGTGGAACAAAAGCAAATAAGATGTGTTTCCAGATTTCTCAAAAATTTGCATCTCTAGATCTGAAGCTGTAGCACCTGATGTAGTCTAGTGCCATACCCAGGACTAGCAAGTAAATGTAAAAATAAATACATTGCTTACATGGAAAATACAACGAAATGTATATTTGCCGCTTTGAAATCTGATAATTGGTGACGCATTTTGTACAGTTCCTACGATCTCTACAAGAGTTAGAATTTATCTGTTTTACAGTTGATCGTATGCGTTTAAATGACAAATGCTTATTTATTGTCGTTGCCAATGGCATATCCCTTACAACGTTTTCGATAACGTTTCTTCAAAGGTTCTTTTCTTTATAATCTGTGAATTATCATGGTACTTTGGGAAAGACCGTAGAATGGTTTCTTGTTGACTTCTGAAGGTTTTTGAATTGAATTTGGTTCTTGATCTAGATTGGCTACCACCCAAGTCTAGAAGCTCCGTTGTAGCCTGGCGTCTTCGAAATACATTGGACAGTGACAGAGATTAATACTATCTTTTACCAAACGCAAAATGCGAAAGTAGGGGGGGCGGAATTGTAGCACAGTTTTCAGATTGTATTCTTTAAAGTGAAAAAATACTGAGTATAATAAGTATACATGAGTTCATATATATATATATATATATATATATGAAGAAATATAGTCTTAAGATGTGCTATATCTATGGGATAAAGTGCTCAATATCAGAGATAGAGCGTCTGTAAATATAAAAGTGAACATAGAAGTCAACACTTAGAGGCGACAGTCTGTATCATGCAAGATGCAATCGATGGCATGACCATTGCCTCTAGCATGAAACAGACTCTCGCCTCTAAGTGTTGACTTCTATGTTCACTTTTATGTATATATATATATATATATATATATATATATATATATATATGTGTGTGTGTGTGTGTGTGTGTGTGTGTGTGTTTATTACTGCCTTATTATTTCAATGAGATTAATAGGCTTTATAATATTATTTTCATTAAATATGTGACAAAATATATGTTGGAATCCAGTATGACGATCAAAGCAGAAAACCTTTATTGTAAATGTGTAGCAGTAGAGGGAAACGAATAGAATGGTTTAATATAAACAGAAACTCAAAAGCTCATATTTAAATTATGCCTAAATGATATTAAATAAATGCAGCTTGCCAGATAAATCATGTTTGTACTATCGTGTATATCCGTAAGGTTATTTGTCCTTATATGGCAGGTTTGCTTCAGTCACTTTCCCACTACTGTAACATAGCTTCCCTGTTCTTTTTCCATAATTATTTTTTATCATTCTGACAAACTTTCCACTATGGTATCTGTTGTGGATTCCGGGATGAAATCCGGTCTCAAAATGAATGACAAACGCAGGAATGAAATATAGCAAATAAATGTATTGACGTAATAATACAATTGGTAATACGGTTAGTAGATCCAGAAATGCAGTTAGTAGCAATAATAATATATATACAGTCTGGGAAATTCAGTATCGAAGTATGACTTCCTTCTGAGTCTACGTGCTCGCAACTGTGACTCCTTCAAAGCGGTTACCTCACACTCTCACTCTGTCACTTCCGGGTATTCACCCTCAGCAGTAGAAGTACACACTGGGCGAGTCCACTTGTATAAAAAGGGGTGGACTGCTTAACAGTATCTAGAATTTATGAATTTAAGGGAACAACTAGATTGGCGGGAAGTTCTCATATTACAGTGTTAATGGCTAGTTTCGTAAGATTTATGTTATAACAGTTAGTTTGTTTTCTCGTCTGCTTCTGGATTGTGAAACACACTTCCGTTTAGTTCCTTTACAATCAAATTTAAATGCGATATTAATCGTTATTTTTGTTTTCTTAATTCCTGTACTTTCAGTTCGCTCTCCGTAATGATGTTTTTTTTTCAAATTCTTCAACTCTCATTAAGCTATTATAATGGCTT